GTGCTTTAGCATACCTCAAGCAGCTCTGTTTGTGATGTAGGTGGAGAAAAGACTTCCTGTACATCACTCTCCCATACAGCATCTCCTTGTGTTAAGTGTGCTGAATAGTTGAACGATGCACAGTGACTCCATCAGCAGCAAGATGATGTTGTAGGTCTTTGGTGCTGGTCTGTGGGTTGACTCTGACTGTTCTCAACATCCTTCACTTCTGTTTATTCCAGATTTGTCTTTGTCTGCCACTTCCAGCCTTGACTTGAACTGTGCCTGTGGTCCTCCATTTTCTCACAAAGTTTCTCACAATGTTCTGAGATGGCTTTCTGTATGCTTCCCCTAAACCATGATGGTGAACAATCTTTGTTTTCAGCTCATTTAAAAGTTGTTTTTAGACTCCCATGCTGTGACTCTTCAGAGAAGATGCAGAAGAGGAGAAAATCTTGATTCAGTGATTTATTTAACTCTTCAAATAGGGCAAAAGCCTGTTAATCACCCAGCAATCAAAATCAGGTGTGTTGGAGCAGGAAAACCTCTAAAACATGTAAGATAGCAGCCCTCGAGGACTGGAGTTTGACACCCCTGCTTATTTAATTCAATGATTGYACAACATTTAAAATATTGTCAGTAAGTTTGGGGGAAAGCATGCAAAACTATTACAAAAACTATTTTTATTTTACAAAAASAGCTGCAATAAYTGTTTCAGAAAAYATCATGGTCATYTAACATCTGMTGAAATTRATACAGTTTTATGATCTGGTTGATTATAGTATTTTGCAAGTTATGGATAGGGCTTATAAAACATTGTCACCATTAAATATCCAGTCAAGAGATAAGATCTAGTAGAAAGTGATCYAATAGTGCTATGTGAATRTGTGTGAATGAGTAAATGGGGACACAGATTATAAAGAGCTTTGAGTATCTTGGATGGATAGAAATATGTTGTATAAGTACAGTCCATTCACCACTTTAAAAGAGGTGAAATTTAGGGTCTGGATTTCTTACATCAAGGGTCCTTAACCTTTTTGACCAACTTGAATCTAAAGTGGCACGAAGCCCATTCAGACATTATCAATGTGCTGATCGAAGTGATAATTGATCTAGGTTTTATTTGTATTGYATTAGCATTATAAAAAAATAAATGCACTTGGAGTTTAACGAACAAAGACCTTATCAAATATATCACAAGACGTTAAGYAACTAAATATTAAATTAATCCAATTTCCTGGAACTTTTACACAATTAAATTACCCCCACCAACACAAATAAACATTAACCCAAATTTCATTCTATTTTTTTAACCAAAAGCTGCTCTTCATATTTGTGACAAATTCTACRTACTGTTTTAGTTTGGAGGGCTTCAGTGCTTTGTTGGATAGGTCTCATGGCTAACCATAAGTCTGCATTATACTTACAAACATTTTTGGCCTTTTTGGCAAGTTTTCTTCATGTTTTGCCTTCAACTTTTTTTTTGAATTGGTAAATGGACTGTACTTATACAACACCAACTAGGATACTCAAAGCTCTTTACAATCTGTGTCCTCATTTACCCATTCACACACACACACACACACACACACACACACA